CGTAATTTGTCATTTTTTTGTTTTCTCGAGAAAAATAGAAAACATAACATTCCTTCCAAGAGGCGACAGGCAATTTGCTCCCTTAGGATAAGTTATACCATAAGTACTGATTTTATTGACTAAATTAAAAAGTAAATACATATTGTTGGAGAGTTGCCAGCATCTGATTTTTCCAAATGGATATTCAAAATTGTATATTCTAATTCAATGAGAAAATTTCTGGTGCAGAAAAACTGTATACTATGTGGAACTATCTATAAAATTAATGACATGTTAATACCTTCAGCCTTATGGATAATTAGAGTATACGACAAAAATGTGTCTCATCTTAAATTTGGTTTTATAGCCCAAATTTTATAATATCCTATGAACGAACTATCCGATTTGAATCAAACTTTGCACGACCTATTATCTTCACCAAGCCAGGATCAAGTCCTAAGATGGGACCCATTTGTCTTCTCCTTCTAATACCTCCTCCACAAAGGGTATAAAAGTTCAATATTTATAAATTCACTATTAGGCGAATGGAATGTCCGATATGAACCAATCTTTACACAACATAGATCAAGTCCGAATGTTAGATCCATTATTCCACTCCTTGTGGCCCCTTTCCCCACAAAGGGTGTAAATGTTCAATATTTATAAATTCATTATTAGGCAAATGGAATGTCCGATTTGAACCAAACTTTACACAACCTTTTATGTATACCAAGCCTAGATCAAGTCCGAATATGGGACCCATTGGCCCACTCCTTCTGGTATCTCCCCCACAAAGAGTCAATAATTCACAATCTTGTAAATTCAATCTGAAGCGAATTGAATAAAAAATTAGATCAAATCCGAAACCTCTTAGATAGAAACATATACCGATAGAGATAGAAACATATACTTGTTGGGCGTGAAGTACTATGTCGTATAAGATCTCTTTCTGTCGAGAAGGTACCATCACAGTTGACAATAGATGATTTTGTATGGGTTATCCGTAGCGCAAAGTTATCTAAAGCGTTGGGTCCTGGCGGAATATCTATGTATTGCTAAAACAGGTGGAAGAGAGGGAAGTTGAGTACCTCATTAAAGTCCTCTATTTGTCGACAGCCGCGAAACGTGGAAAATGGGGAAGGTGCGCCAGGTACTAATCCCAAACAAGGAGGCAGCAAAAGTGAACCATACACCCCATCTCACTTTTATCACTAGTAGGATAGACTCTTGAGCCATTACTCCTCCATAGTATTAGAGAAATCTATGTAGTTGCGGGTTCAGAGAGGAATAAGAAGTTCAAGCCCCATAGAGTGAATAAGGGAGTTCCCCCAAAGGGGCCACATTCGAAAGCATTCTCCGCAAAGATATCTGCAATGAATTGAAAAAAGAGCACAGGTCCTCAAGTCCCTCGCCGGCAGCACTTGGGATGCAGATAAGGGGGGCTACTCTGTATTGCGATGCGTGAGAAAAATTGTAACGTATCGCGTAATTGGTACTCTCTAATTCGTTTTCGTATCTCCTTTCGCATCTACTTTACGCAAATGTAGCATCACCGCACTCTGTAATACGAAAACGCATGTCAAACTCGTTCGTTAAGCGCAAATATCTTGCGTTAACAAAATAGCAAACGCAAAGGAAGCGAAACATATAAGTAAGCTCCATTAAAGGCTTTATTTATATATAAATTGTAAATTATTTTAAGTAAAAGGCAAAAAAGTCACAGTTACAGGCTCAGCAACGTCAGTTCCTAACTTCAGCAGATTTTATGGGGCAACACAGTGATTTGGCAAAGGGACAGTTGCAGAGTTCAAATGCGAAACAACGCGCCAACAATTTGTGGATAAAACTGTCTGATGACCTCAATTCAAATTGACCTCCTGTAAAATATGTCGGTGGTTGGAAAAAGTAATATATTACTTTTTATACAAAATGTGAAACTATGTGTGCATATTTATAGGTTGGTGTTGATAACCACATTGTCCAAGCAATTTCAAAGCAGCGGCCTCTTTTATTGGAGTTGGAATTGTTGTGGATCTATTTGAAACGACGAGCGTTTAAAAAATACATAAACGAATCTTTATTGAGACATTTAATATAAATCTATAAAAATTAAATATTTGAAAACATTTGTCACATAATTCGTACTTATATTTTCATACCCGTGGTCACTTAGGCAGAGTATATTTGATAGATCTCATAAAATTCTTTTTTTTAATTCAGTAGCAGCGATGAAGATACCCAGCTGAAAAAAGTCCACGCCCATATGTGTGGCGTTGGACGTCAAAGGAATACAGATATTGTACCAAGGTAAGGAGATATTGTATGGATTATACATATTTTTTCATTATACTACTTCATTATACTTTGACATTAAAGGTGAATAATGTGAATGGCGGCGCTATACGTGTCTCATTCCTATAAGGCAATGATAAAATGGGCCCATAACAATTCACTGGAATAATTATTAGTTTACTATTGACAAACTGATAAGGTAGCACTGATGACGAGTCATAAATTTGTACAAAGTTCATTCAGAGGCCGGCATTTCTAAAAATAGTCAATATTCAGACGTAATTGTGCGATAAGAGGGGGTTTTTAACAACCGTTGGTAACACAAGACAGACTATTTTTAAAACAATAGCCGGATATAATGTTAATCATTTTGATTTTAATATTATTGAAACAATTCGATGGTAGTATTACTACTCCTACCTTATGTTGTTGTTAGGGAATGCTATCATAATACTAATCGGCATGTCTTACCCTGTTAATCAATGTTAATAAACATTAGGATATACCTTTTGACCCCCATTCTATAAAAATTTTGTGCTAAAATAATCAAATTAATGTTGGCCATACAATATTTTTTTCTTTTTACATTCTTCGAAATTCGTCTAGTTCTTAGTATAAGATTAAAAGCACTGATACGTTTAATTGTCAATAGAATATAACTGACTAGTCGGGTTTATCTTAAGGGCCTGAGTTATATGTTTCCGTTAAACAGACAGATTATCTCAAATTATAAATTATTTCATAGATAGTACACTCTTCTTACTAAAAAACATAAAAAATATACCTGTTGCTGTATTCTGGGAAACATTGTTTTGGAGCATTGCTTTGTAGTATTCGGATACACGACTTTCATAAGTGTCAGTCGATGTTGCCGACAGATATATACCTTATGGTTTGCGGAGGACTTCGGAATTACACACATATTTTATTATTCGCTTTATATTGGGTATATGTTTTTATCAAAGAGGTTTTAGATTTAATGTCGTTTCAAATTTAATGTATAAGATTATAGAATATTGACTCTCTGTGGGGGAGGTATCAGAAGGAGAGGACCGACGGGTCCCCTTTTCAAATTTGATCGAGGCTTGGAAAAGATAATAGGTTGTACAAAGTTGGGTTCGAATCAGGCATTCCATTAGCCGGATATTGGATTTAAAAATATTGAAATTGTTGACCCTCTGTGTGGGTGGTACTAGAAGGAGTGCACCAATGGGTCCCATTTTCCTACTTGATCTAGGTTTGGTAAAGGTAATAGTTTGTACAAAGTTTCGTTAAAATCCGATAGTCAATTTTGACCATTTTGTTGGGGAGGTACAAGAAGCAGTGGACCGATATTTCCCATCTTCGAACTTGATCTAAGTTTGGAAGAAATATTACGATGTAGAAAGTTTAGATGAAATCGATTACTCCCTTTGAAAGTTATCGTGCGCACCAGCCGACCAGACAGGCGGTCGGCCATTTGTAAATCGACTCCGAATTGCCTGAAACGGATTTGGTCCAAAGAAAGATCGGGTCTAAAACCAAAATTTCGATGAGGCACATGTTTGCCTCTTACCCTAATTAGCCATAAGGCTGTCCTGGAACCCAGCATAAATTAACTATCCGTCGTATATTATGCAGAGCAGACCTGCAATCAAGAACTGCTTTTGAGTTTATAGTGCACGACTTTGAAGCGTTGAGGGCCGCCTGACTATCGACATATATAGTCACCGGTCTCGTATTATCGGCAGTAAGTGTTTTAACTATCTCGGCCGCTTTCGTGATTGCAAGGATTTCTGCTTGAAAAACGCTACAAAGATTGTTACGTTTATATGAGAGGGAACATAGTCACTAATGTTAGTATTTCTCCTCAAGAAATCGCAACCTGGCGTTATGTTGAGGATACTAGTGTGACCATAGTTCTGCGATTTCCAGGCACCCGTTTCTCGGAGCCTCAGGGCATTTAATCAGAATGTCCAGTAGTGTGCTTCTTAGCGCTCCGGTAGTCAGGATCGAAGCCCATCGCTGTACTGAATTTTGTCAGCAGTATATTTTTGTTGACCCCCTGCCATCATACAAGGCAACCATATGGAGTTCTTGCAAGAGTAGAGTGCTATCAGTCCTTTCTTAGAGCGAAATTAGAAATTTCCCACCAACCAGCAAGACTACATCATCGGCATAGGCTACTACCTTTATTTTAAGATGGTCGAATTTCAGCAGTATCTCATATATCACCAGAAGCCACAGAAGAGGAGATAATACTCCTCCTTGTGGTGTGCCTCTGTTGACAGATTTCCTCACGTTGATAATTCTGCTTTCCAGCATTCTATCAATCTGTTTCGTTTATTTTTAATTTGACTGCTTACCATGGTAGCATTGTAAATTCCAAATAATAGTAACGTCTTTTTAGTCTTTGTTCTACATTTTAAGAACTTAATTCGTGTTTTAATAAAACCCGACCATATTTTTCATTTTAACTCTATTTCAGACCCGGTGCCTCACCTGGCTATTGGCTGAGCTGTCTGCTACCCCTCTCCTTAGTCGTTACATATTGGACAAATGTACACGATCCACATAGATGCTCGGATATGCCACAACAATATAAGCTAATTACATTAACCGCCCTTACAATTTGTATACAAAATATTAGCTTCTTCATTTATCTTGCCTTGCAAGCAAAACTCTACAAATGGATGATAGTTTTTATACCCTTTGTGGGTGGAACATGTATATTTCGATATGGTCTCGGTATGAATTGGTGGCTGGCATTTGCATGGACGCTATTCATCGATGTACTCTTTCAGCGATGTTATATACAGGTTATGCGTGATTTACCAAAAAGTTTCACCTATGGTGAAGCTTCCATATTGACACAGGGTATCTTTCTATTTGTCATGAATACTCTGATAATGGGTTATCATTTAGTGCTGCACGAGCCAGCTAAGGAAAGTATGAATGAAATGCAAACTTTGGGAACTATTATGATGGTAAGTTAGGAGGTGAATGGAAATAAAATTCAATATTTTATTTCAAATAATTTTTTTTTTCTTTTCTTCTTCTAGTTTGCCTTACTTTGGCTTTTGTTGGTGTGCAGCTCACTGTTAGCTTGTCAATTTCTGCGTAAACCATTTATATTCTATCCCATTATGATGACATTTGTGGCTGCAGCCACATTGGCACCAGTCACAAAACCCCTACCAGTTATTGCTGTATTTGAATTTATTTTTAGGGATCAAATGAGGGTAAGATCCGTAAATACAAAATGGTTTAAAAGTATAGCTACATATATTTTGCATTTCCCTTTTTTAGCTCTACATTATTTTATTTTATGTGGCCCTGGTTATTGCCACAGTGGCTGTGGTCTGCTGGCAACTTCGTAACGCTCAACATGCAACGACTAGTGTACGAAAACTGTTTCACATTTTTATGGTACTTGTCTATATACCGGGCCTACTATATGAATGTGCCTTTCTATATATTGCCTCCGGTGTGGCCATGGCATTAATAACAATTTTCGATTTACTCCGAATACTGAAAATGCCACCTTTGGGAGAAATTTTAGAAAAAGCTTTTCATTCGTTTGCAGATGAAAAAGATGCTGGTATTATAGCATTTACACCGATGTGTTTATTAATCGGTTGTTCTCTACCCCTTTGGATAATGCCCTGCCCCTGTAATACCAATGAACATGGACTGAATGTTAAATTGTTACCCCTACTCTCGGGTATCTTGACAATTGGTTTTGGTGATACAGCAGCCAGTGTTATTGGTTCGAAATATGGTCGTCATAAATGGAGAAGTAAGTCGTACCGTCTTATTTGTAATTCCTAATTTAATAACAAAATATATATATTTTCCAGATAGTTCCCGTTCCATTGAGGGTACCGTTGCCTTTACCCTTTATGTCCTGCTACCCATTATTATTTTCAATTTAATGGAATTTGTGCAATTGAATGCATTGCAATGGCTTATCATTATTGTGGCCACATTAATTTCAGCTCTTGTAGAAGCCCGTACTGATCAAATAGATAATTTAGTATTACCCTTAGTTTTTTATATAATTATAAGTTTATGTTAGCGTAATTTGTCATTTTTTTGTTTTCTCGAGAAAAATAGAAAACATAACATTCCTTCCAAGAGGCGACAGGCAATTTGCTCCCTTAGGATAAGTTATACCATAAGTACTGATTTTATTGACTAAATTAAAAAGTAAATACATATTGTTTATATGTAATAAAAAATATACATACATACAAACATATTTTTTTAATTGTAAAGGTTCGAATGAAGGTGAATGTGTCTCTTGGTTCGAATAAGAGATTTCTTCGAAAGGTAAGCACTATGTTTAACATTTACGTTCGGAAAGCTATGGACGGATCCAAGGGTTGCGTCTGTCTGTAATAATTGATCCCTTGGCGGACAAGGATGATGTCATGGATACCACTGGTGTTTATAACTATTGCTTTTACAAAATAGATTGAGGCGACGCACGTTGTCCCAGTAAGATTCGGGTCGATTTTAGTAATTTTTTGTTGTAGAAGCCCTATTACCCCACCAAGTGTGCTAAAGCCAAAGAGCATCCGTCAAAATTATTTACCGTATGGCGGTACATTTCTGCAAACGGGTTGTTGAACCTCGTACAATGTAGGAAATTTTAACGGCTCATAGGGTCAACATTTCCTATAGATGGAGCTAATAGTATTTAAGTGTGACCAAGTTGACATTCAATGCTTGGAGAGTTGCCAGCATCTGATTTCCAAATGGATATTCAAAATTGTATATTCTAAGAGAAAACTGGTGCAGAAGTATACTATGTGGAACTATCTATAAAATTAATGACATGTTAATACCTTCAGCCTTATGGATAATTAGAGTATACGACAAAAATGTGTCTCATCTTAAATTTGGTTTTATAGCCCAAATTTTATAATATCCTATGAACGAACTATCCGATTTGAATCAAACTTTGCACGACCTATTATCTTCACCAAGCCAGGATCAAGTCCTAAGATGGGACCCATTTGTCTTCTCCTTCTAATACCTCCTCCACAAAGGGTATAAAAGTTCAATATTTATAAATTCACTATTAGGCGAATGGAATGTCCGATATGAACCAATCTTTACACAACATAGATCAAGTCCGAATGTTAGATCCATTATTCCACTCCTTGTGGCCCCTTTCCCCACAAAGGGTGTAAATGTTCAATATTTATAAATTCATTATTAGGCAAATGGAATGTCCGATTTGAACCAAACTTTACACAACCTTTTATGTATACCAAGCCTAGATCAAGTCCGAATATGGGACCCATTGGCCCACTCCTTCTGGTATCTCCCCCACAAAGAGTCAATAATTCACAATCTTGTAAATTCAATCTGAAGCGAATTGAATAAAAAATTAGATCAAATCCGAAACCTCTTAGATAGAAACATATACCGATAGAGATAGAAACATATACTTGTTGGGCGTGAAGTACTATGTCGTATAAGATCTCTTTCTGTCGAGAAGGTACCATCACAGTTGACAATAGATGATTTTGTATGGGTTATCCGTAGCGCAAAGTTATCTAAAGCGTTGGGTCCTGGCGGAATATCTATGTATTGCTAAAACAGGTGGAAGAGAGGGAAGTTGAGTACCTCATTAAAGTCCTCTATTTGTCGACAGCCGCGAAACGTGGAAAATGGGGAAGGTGCGCCAGGTACTAATCCCAAACAAGGAGGCAGCAAAAGTGAACCATACACCCCATCTCACTTTTATCACTAGTAGGATAGACTCTTGAGCCATTACTCCTCCATAGTATTAGAGAAATCTATGTAGTTGCGGGTTCAGAGAGGAATAAGAAGTTCAAGCCCCATAGAGTGAATAAGGGAGTTCCCCCAAAGGGGCCACATTCGAAAGCATTCTCCGCAAAGATATCTGCAATGAATTGAAAAAAGAGCACAGGTCCTCAAGTCCCTCGCCGGCAGCACTTGGGATGCAGATAAGGGGGGCTACTCTGTATTGCGATGCGTGAGAAAAATTGTAACGTATCGCGTAATTGGTACTCTCTAATTCGTTTTCGTATCTCCTTTCGCATCTACTTTACGCAAATGTAGCATCACCGCACTCTGTAATACGAAAACGCATGTCAAACTCGTTCGTTAAGCGCAAATATCTTGCGTTAACAAAATAGCAAACGCAAAGGAAGCGAAACATATAAGTAAGCTCCATTAAAGGCTTTATTTATATATAAATTGTAAATTATTTTAAGTAAAAGGCAAAAAAGTCACAGTTACAGGCTCAGCAACGTCAGTTCCTAACTTCAGCAGATTTTATGGGGCAACACAGTGATTTGGCAAAGGGACAGTTGCAGAGTTCAAATGCGAAACAACGCGCCAACAATTTGTGGATAAAACTGTCTGATGACCTCAATTCAAATTGACCTCCTGTAAAATATGTCGGTGGTTGGAAAAAGTAATATATTACTTTTTATACAAAATGTGAAACTATGTGTGCATATTTATAGGTTGGTGTTGATAACCACATTGTCCAAGCAATTTCAAAGCAGCGGCCTCTTTTATTGGAGTTGGAATTGTTGTGGATCTATTTGAAACGACGAGCGTTTAAAAAATACATAAACGAATCTTTATTGAGACATTTAATATAAATCTATAAAAATTAAATATTTGAAAACATTTGTCACATAATTCGTACTTATATTTTCATACCCGTGGTCACTTAGGCAGAGTATATTTGATAGATCTCATAAAATTCTTTTTTTTAATTCGTTCATCATTTTTGTTTAAAAAAACACTAGTACCACACAAAAATATGTTTTCATTTACAATTTTTTGACGTTTCCTTTTGTCATTCTTCGTTATTGTTTACTTTGTGGCGACATTGTTGCCCTATTTTCAATTTAGTTTGCGAATGCGTTTGCGTGAACGTTACAGAGTACCAAATTGTACTCTTAACGCATTTAGCTTTCATATCGCACTTGCTTTCGCAACGCAATACAGAGTAACCCCCAAGGAAACCTTTTTGACATCTTATAAAGCGATTGATCGGTCTGTGGCCGGCTGTGCGGTACCAGTATGGTCTGCGAATGTTATTGCTACGCAATGGAGATGTATTCAGACCTGTCAGAACGAAACATAATAGGCATATAAAATTGCTATAACGATCAATACTTGTCTATGAAACTATCTGCTTAATTGATATAGAAATAGCGAGGAAAAATTCTTTTTTCGGATCAATCGACTGAAAGTCTTACAATATAGAATCTTTTTACTTTTTCCAACTGTACCACATTTTTCAAACTAATCTGTTCGAGATGACGAATAGCTGACCCATCGACAATTTACAGGAGCAAGTCGATGGATCCATAATTACCACCCGTAATCATCGAACAATAGACCTATCAAAAAGGATTGGACTATATTCAACTTGAAGCAGTTGAGGAAGCAATACAAGATGAATGCCGGAGAAAAGTCGGAGAACGTCTGCCTCTGATAACAGCAGCTACGACCCGAGACTTACTCGGCCAACGTTTGTCAGCCCATTATGTAAAAACAATAAGCCTGCTACAACAACAACATACCAGAGTGGTTTTGGCACAATTGGAGCTCAAAATGTGGTAATGATAAATATGACAATCTTTACCTCTTCAATTGCCCTGACAAACTCACTTTCTCATTAACTAACCCCATCTCCAAGATCCTGAGCTTTGTTAAGATTTTGACTCACCTTCCTTTACTCCTGCAGATTGACCAAACGAAAATACACAGCAGTAAAAACTGCAACAACAATTCGCATTAAACACGACGCAGAATATCTCCCGGCCTGTTTTAATGCACACTGCACCTTGTTTACTGTCGAATCGAGTCAATCCATTTGACCCGATATCATATAGACTCACACACTTTAAATAAAAAATTAAAAGACAATGTAAGACGTAATTTTTTATAAACATTTTATTTTTAAATGCAGCAAAATGATATGAGGATATATATATATATATATATATAAGTAAACAAATGCCTTTTATGTTTTTGAGTGCATGTAAACACATTCATATGAAATATATGTAGTATAAGAAAATGCTATATATGTAAATTTCTTTTTAATAAAAGAAAGAAAACTTAAATCTAAATGCGTACAATGCGTTGTTACAACTACAAATGATGAGGCTTGACAATTTATTAACAGATTATTCAATAAATATACATACGGTAGGACAATACAATAAATGATATTGCTGCACTAAGCAATTATACATTCCTATGTATATGCTTATAAACTATTGTATTTACATACATATTTAGGTACTACAATGAACAAATAATAATAAAAAGAAGAAACACTGGCTTTTTCGAAACACTGAATTTCTTGGCAGCTATTTTCAGGCAGCTTAAAAAACGGAATTCTTTTTTAATGAAGTCAAAGTTTAGGTTTGGTTTGAGTGTAGTTTTTTTGATTTATTTATAGAAAATCTATAAACGAAAGCCATTTTACAATTTTTATGCCAATGTTTATCTACTATAGATATCCTTTGACTACCAATAAACCGTATAATTTTTCTTAATAACAACAAAATTACATAAATACAGACATAGTGAAATAATATAATAAAAAAATGAACACATGTTTATTTTTTTTTTGTTACATAGAACAAATTTGAAATGCATTAAGGAATTGTTTTGTTAGCTGGTAGTGTTACAGTTATATATTTTTGTTTCTTTGTTTTTTTTATTCTAAGGTAGTGGCATAATTCTAAAACTAATTATTAAATAATATTTGAACTTATTAAAAAAATAATCTTAAGATAAACTAAACAAAAAAGAAAATAATAAATAAATAATTTTTTACAAAGGTTCCTGCTGAAAATATTCATGCTCTAGACAGGCCAATGCTGAGGGTCGTAAACGTAAATCATACGACAGCATTTGCTAAAAAGAGAAAAAGGGAAAACAATATATAAATAGATTTATTAATACGAGTATTATTTATTAAATGACAATAAGTAAGACTATTTATAGGTAGGCTTGAAAGTAGTTCTTTTTAAAAATACCACATTGTCTTATAATATACCATTAAAATCAAGGACTTCTTCTAGAAGATGAATGTATTCCTATTATAGTGACTTTTTATAGTTGCTCACAAGATTGTCTTATACAATATTGGTTGCTCTTCCTTTTTTAGAAGACCAGTGGGCCTTCTAATGGGTGATAACTGGGTCCTCTTCTAGAAGACTAACGAGTCTTCATACAAACATCTGTGATGGTCAGATCTTCCTATTAAAGATCAAACCTCGTTCTACCGATGGGTTTTTTATAAGTCGTTTTTTCAGGGTTAACTCCTCACGAAATCAATCTTATATGGGGCCGAATTTTAATACCAACCCCTACTTCCCACCTCTTCTAAAAATAATAATAAAAATGTGATTTTTCGACTGAAGCAGGCATCTGCCTTGGCACCCTCATTCTCGAACTCCACAAGACCAGATCCCATTTAACCCCCATGCCCTATGATGACCAAAAGACTGGCCTTTTCCCTCAATCCACATTGCTCTCGATGACGATGACGTAAGCGAAAGCTTAGAAGCCTACGGACCTCCTCCTAAACCTTCCTTCCGCCTGGGACGACTCACATTTGACAGACGAGAAATATGTCATGGATACTCATCTCAAATGATGAGTTGGGACGTAAACCCTGGCAAGGGAGAAGATCCAAACTCCATCTTTGCGTCCTGTTGTGAAGTCTTGAGACTCCTGAGGTAGTTGGCCGTCGAAGTGGATACTGGTGCTGATGAGTTTCCAATCGTAAAGAGGAATGAATCATCAAAACCGGGAACCAAAAAATGAGAAGGTCTTCAAATAGAAGACAAGAAGGTCTTCATATAGAAGGTCTTCACTTAAAATTCCAAAGTCTTCACAGAGAAGACCAGAAGATCTTATTATAAAAGATCGGAAAGTCTTCATATAGGACACCAGCAGATCTTCATATAGAAGTCCACAATGTCTTCATATAGAATACCAGAAGGTCTTAATATAGAAGACAAGAAAGTCTTCATATTGAAGATCAGAAGGTCTTCATACAGAAGACCATGAGGTCTTCATATAGAAGAGCAAAAGGTCTTCATATAGAAGACCAGAAGGTTTTCATATAGAAGACCAGAAGGTTTTCATATAGAAGACCAGAAGGTTTTCATATAGAAGACCAGAAGGTCTTCATATAGAAGACCAGAAGGTCTTCATATAGAAGACCAGAAGGTCTTCATATAGAAGACCAGAAGGTCTTCATATAGAAGACCAGAAGGTCTTCATATAGAAGACCAGAAGGTCTTCATATAGAAGACCATAAGGTCTTCATATAGAAGACCATAAGGTCTTCATATACAAGACCAGAATGTCTTCACAGAGAAGACCAGAAGATCTTATTATAAAAAATCGGAATGTCTTCATATAGGACACCAGCAGATCTTCATATAGAAGTCCAGAATGTCTTCATATAGAAGTACATAAAGTCTTCATATTGAAGACCAGAAGGTCTTCTATATGAAGCGCTGTGAATATGTTGGAACATATTCTTGGAAAATAAAAAAATATATTAAAAAAATAATAAAATACTCACAGCCAGCAGATCATTTGCATATTCACAAAGATTAGGACATAAATCCCTCGGTTGTTTAGGATGCCGCGCAGGAAAATGTTCTCGTGATAACGATATCGTTCTTGGCCATTGTTGGGCTGTTGGACGTCCTGTTAATCTATAAAGAAAAAATAAAATATTAAAATGTATAATCACAGAAGAAAAATCTATTAACTCGTTTATATAACAACTAGCATAGGCCCGCTACGTTGTTAGCGAATCTTTTTATACCCTCCACCATAGTATGGAGGGTATATTAATTTTGTCATTCCGTTTGTAACACATCGAAATATTCATTTCCGACCCTATAAAGTATATATATTCTTGATCAGGGTAAAATTCTAAGACGATCTAGCCATGTCCGTCCGTATGTCCGTCCGTCTGTCCGTCCGTCGTTGTTGTAATCACGCTATCTTCTGAAGGAATTGAGATAGGGTGCTGAAATTTTGCACAAAGTTGTCTTTTGTCTGCAGGCAGGTCAAGTTCGAAGATGCGATATATCGGTCCACGTTTAGGCACAGCTCCCATATAAGGGTACCCCCCAATTTTCGGTATTTTGAGGTTCCTGAGCGTGTTTTTCAACCGAATTCGCTGAAAGTTGGTACTTTGAGCTCTTATTGGGAAGCAAATCTCCCTACTAAAAATTATAAATATAGGTCAATTTTTTCTGGTACCCCCCATATAACGGTACCCCCAATTTTCGGTATTTTAAGGTTCTTGAGCGCGGTTTTCAACCAAATTCGCTGAAATTTGGTACTTTGAGCTCTTGTTGGGAAACAAATCTCCCTACTAAAAATTATAAATATAGGTCAATTTTTTCTGGTACCCCCCATATAACGGTACCCCCAATTTTCGGAATTTTAAGGTTCTTGAGCGCGGTTTTCAACCGAATTCGCTGAAATTTGGTATATAGGGTTCTTATTGGGTACCAAATTTACCCACTAAAAATTATAAATATAGGTCCATTTTTTCTGGTAGCCCCCATATAATGGTACCTACCAATTTTCAGTATTTTGGAGGTTTTGATCTTATTTTTCCGGCGAATTAGCTGTAATTTAGTATTTTGAGTTGTTAATCTCTCCACAAAAAATTATGAATATAGGTCCATTTTTTCGAATAGCATCCATATAAGGGTACCCTAAATTTTCGGTATTTTGGGGTTCTTGAGAACGGTTTCAACCGAATTTGCTGCAATTTGGTATTTTGTAGTCGTATATGGTAACAAATCGTTCTACCAAAAATTATTAATATTTGGGGTAGTCCCCATATAACCTCCTTTTTTATATTAAAATAGTTATCTGATTTGTTCTGCGTTTTGAGTTTGGTTCTAAGACTCTATGGTAATCATTTCACCAGCGGAGGATAGCGAGATAAAAAATTAGAACGTAAGGGTCGATAATGAACTATAGCCACAGTTAGACCTATTCCCATCTTCGAATTTGAATTATCAATAAAAATTTTTGAAATTTTTATTATGGTTTACTTTATGGTTTACATAATCCGTTTTTAGACATGTCGGTATAGGTCCACTTTTTGGTATGTTCCCTATATTTTCATTTCTAGTACCTGTCAGTATATCTATGGTGGAGGGTATCCAAAGTTCGGCCCGGCCGAACTTAACGCTTTTTCACTTGTTATAGTTAAAATAAATAAACATAAATTTAGCTACACAATATACTTTTGGATTAAGTATAAATTTGAAACATTTTAATTATAGGTTTTACTTCTTCAATTTTTTAAAATGAATCTCAGATTTTACTTCGCGATTCTTTCCAACAGAAACGTTGATGCTTTTATTATACTAAATCGAGTACAACATACTTATTTTCATATTTTCTTAAAGCGTACTATGTTCTCGATCCTCCCGTTGGACCAATGCAAATATTACCATAATACGTTTTTTTAACTTTTTTGTTACTTTCGGTAATTTAATACTAATGCTAAAATATGTAGTACGTTTTAGAACTTGTGTACCCATATAGTACGAATTTGTATTTTGCACAGCGCATCCTTTAGTATGAAGAGACCTGCCTTTATAGGGAATATTTCCATTAAAATAGCAGAAATGTAGTATTTCTGGAGCGTTTCAATGGAAAAAATTGTCGATATTTGTACATAAAGATCCAGCCCATTATTCATTACATATATACAAATGGGATTGGAAACTATATTTCATATAACTTCAGTAATTTTTAGTAAAAATGTTCGAAAAATGTTTCCATAAAACATTTTAAATTGCCAAATACTAAAATGCGGATATCTGTCTCTAACCTTTCCTATTTAGTACTTTTTGCTACGAATTTAAAAAAATACCTTTTTAATTTGTTATAGCAAATATACGCCCGTGTGACATGTTCCGAGAGTTTTTGAATTCCCATACTTTTTTTAAATTCACATGTTGTGCAAAATGGTGTGCTCAATTTCGAGCGAAAGTGCGGCTCGATAGCATAGCTGTGTTCAATATGTTACGAAATGTGTTCAATAAAAAAAAAACATATGTTTCATTGGAATTTTCACTTTGTTTAAAAAGAAAATAAAGAAAAAATATGCCTGCTGGCTTATTAATTGCCCTGGTTTCTACCAGAAAAAGTCTAATGATACTGGAACGTGTTAAAATAAGCATTTATGGATATTTTGAGAGAAGTTGGCCCATTCATACACAAAGGTACCATTCCCGAAAGCCTGCAGTTAGTAGCTACCTTAAGATTTCTGGCTGTTGGTGGGTTTCAGAGGGTAGTGTCAAATTATTTAAATATAAGTGTTGATCGCACAACAATGTGTACAATATTGTGGAGAGTAATGAAAGTCCTGGAAGACAGCTGCAGAGCAGGATCCCGCCATGATGCATTTATTTGAATATGAGTGCCGCTTGGCAGCATTAACAAAAGAGGAAATGGTATGCAAAATAGTTGGCTTCTAAGAGACAGTGGTTACGCTTTAGAAACATTTTTGATGACGGATCTTGTCAACATCGATATAATAAAGTGCACACATCTGCAAGAAACAATATTAAAAGGACTATTGGAAATCTTAAAAGTAGATTTTTTATAGATTATATTTTTATTTTGATCATATGGTGGTTGAGTTGCCAGATTGATCTCAAAAATGTTACGCGCTGTCTGTGATAAAAGGAGCCCTTTTTTATTTTCTTTAATTTTACTATAAAAACTAATGTAAATACTGTATTTTTTAAATAAATATTGTAAAAACACGTTAAATATTACTTCAGCGTTCTTTTTCAACTTGTACTTACTCAGAAAAACATGTACGATTTCATTTCGTTTTCAATCCACAAGGCTATATGTGCTCGAATTATATTCCCAATATTTTTTTGGGAATTCGGAATGGAGCACACCAAATTTGGGAAAATGTTTCACATTAGAGCAAACTCGAAATGCAGCACATGGACGATACATACAAAATTTCAAGACTCCACCACAATATTTAGTACAAATGTCAAGCAGAATTGGGAAAATCATTGTTTTCATAGAAAAAGACCTTGTACCCAAATTCTATATCCACCCGTACCGCCGTTTACAATGTGTTGTACTTTTTAATACATCTTAGAATTTATTTCTGCAAATTATTTATTTATAAATGTTTTTGTCATAGTTCCAGATAATTATTTAATGACAGGTTCCTATCTTTATCCGTTCTGCCGTACACAATATTTAGTACTTGTATTCCGTTCGTATTCTATTTGTTTATAATATACCAAACTATGTTAGTGCCATTTAGAATGAATTTCCAATAAACCAAACTTCTTATTTGTACTATCGCTCAATTTGTAATAGTTAAGCTACATACTAAATTTCAGATTTCAATCTGTAACTTTTCCATTTTAATTGAATATTTTGTACCATTTTAGTACTAATTTCAAAAATATATTACTGTATAGCATAGTAGCAATATCTATGTACCGCGTTTCAGATTTATAACTATATAGCATTATGCATAGCAATCTTTTTGCAATAGAGTAAGCAACGTACTAAATTTCATATTTCTATCAGTTTCATTGTATTTTATTATTTAGTACTTTTTGCATCACTTTAGTACTAATTTCCAAAAAAGTGTTATGAATAGTATTCTATTTATAATAACTTAAGGTCCGACCTGTTCCACCGTAGTATAATATTTAGTACTTTTTAGTATCTTTAGTACTAATTTCCAAAATTTTCCATCATTCCATCATTATATTTGTAATAGCTTAAGTTACATACCAAATTTCAGATATTTATCCCAACCTGTTCTATCGTAGTATAATATTTAGTACTTTTAAGTACCTTTAGTACTAATTTCCAAAATGTGTTCACCCATTATGATTCGCTTGTCATTGACAAAGCTGCATACCAAATTTCAGAGTTCTACTTCAAACCGTTCCGGCGTAATACAATTTTAGTACTTTTTATAACATTTTAGTACTAATATTAAAAAAAATAGTTTTGCATATAATTCTATTTATAATAGCTTAAGCTACATACCATATTTCAGATATTTATCTCTACCGATTCCATTCAAATATAATATTTAGTACTTTTTAGTACCTCTTAGTACTAAATTCCAAAATTTTTTCACACTTTCCACTTCGCTAGACAAAGCTACGTGCCAAATTTCAAAGTTCTACATCTAACCGTTACCGCGTAATACAGTTTTTAGTACTTTTTAGTACCTTTTAGTACGAATTTCCAAAAACCCCGCCTTATCACACGCCTCCCCACCAAACCCAACCTACATGCCAAATTTCAAGATTCCAGCTTTAGCCGTTTCGTCTGGGCGTTGATGATCAGTCAGTCACTTATAACGCAACTCTTTTATATATATAGATTGACTTCAGTTTTTTATTTAATGTGATTATTTTCTTATTTTTTCACTCACTCAAATATTCGATCCAATTGATTTGCTTCTGATGTGCCAGGGAATAGAGCTTTACGTGAAAACATTTCGGCAATAATGCATGCTGAACTCCAGATATCAACGGAACTATTATATGTTTGGGCCAATAGAACTTCAGGCGCCCGATACCACAGCGTCACAACAACCGATGTTAATTTCATTTCAAAATCATATGTTTTGGCCAAACCGAAATCGGCAATTTTTAAATGTCCTTGCGAGGAAATTAGCAGATTTTGTGGTTTTAAATCACGGTGAATAATGCGATGTGAGTGAAGGAAATCGACGCCGGTTAACAGTTCACGTGAAAGGCGCTGAAATAAAAACGAATGAAATTAATAAATGTTTTCTTTTTTAGTTTTGGAAAATAATTACGTACCTGTATTGTTGTGGGTGGCATACCAGATTTTGGTAATCGCTCTATTAAATCTGAAAGATCTTGTTCCAAATGTTCAAATACCAAGAGGACCATTAGTTGACCTTCACGTTCCAGGAATTGACATACTTCGAAGAGTCTGGAAATTAAAAATAACGATTGGAAAATACAGAAAAAATAGTAATAAAAAATGGTCAATTAAAAATAAATCGATAGGAAAATTTTACTATATTGGACTATGGAAATCAGACCAAATATTTCAAAATTAGGATTTAATTAAACTAATTAGTAATTAAATTGTTTCTATGTAGCACTGGTTTAAATCTCAAGACTATTACAATTAAGTGCAAGTTTGCTTATATTGGTATTTAAGATTGTGACCTCAGAGAGATCTTCCCAAACGTTGACAGGAAAAATATGATACGACGAACTTCATATTACCCGGGAACTCATAAATAACTGTCTAAAAGTTATTTATGAAACCTTTAACACCCTACAACATGAGGAGCCCATTTAAAATACCAGAAATAGTTCAGGGGCTATCTTAAAAAGTAGACAAAAGACTACCACCATTGCGGACAGAATTTTATTTTATTTTGAAATTTGATTAAGAATTTTTTATTAATATAAAATTTTGCTCTAAAAATCCAGCATCGGCCAGGTTTTCATTTTTTCCTAAGGATTTTCTGAAACAAGATACACCCATGGTTCCTTTTGAGAATATACATAGAATCACTTTCTGTGTCGACTCATGCATGTCCGTCTGTCCATCCGTCCGTCCGTCTGTACATGTCGAATTGTAAACAAAGTGCAGGTCACATTTATTATCCGAATAAGATCAATTTTGGCACAAATCATTTATTTCCCCAAGGACGAGATCTATTGAATTGGTGAAAATCTGTTCAAATTTAGATATAGCTCCCATATAAAGTTTCGTCCGATTTTATTCTAAATAGTGCACCAAAGTCCCTATATATCTTTGGTGCACCAAAGAGTAAAATTTAGATCGATTGGCACAAATTTTGCACAACCTACTAATGTTAGGGTAACCTAACGTGTGTCCGATTGACATCACATTATACCAACGTATCGAAATGGGTCTACAATAACGTCCGGTTAGTTTGGAAAATATTGGATATCGATTTACATCAAATTTTGCACAACGTTCTAAAGTTAGTATACCCTATTATGTATTAAGTTAAGGTATTTAATTGAGCCTAGAATATTAAACAAAAACGGCTCTAAATCTACGATAATGAAATGGAATTTGGCATAGGTTACCGAGGACATGTGTGTGGAATAATGTAGCCAATAAGAACCCATTGTACCAAATTTTAGCGAATTCGGTTGAAAAACGCTCCAAAATACCGAAAATTAGGGGTACCATTATAGGGGTGCTACCATAAAATTTGGATCGATATTTATAATTTTTAGTGGAGACATTTGGTACCCAATAAGAACTCATGATACCAAATTTCTGTCAATTCGCTTGAATAGCGCGCTCAAGAACCCCAGGGACTTGGGGGTACCCTTACGTGGGGGCTATGCCTACACAAAAGACAACTTATTGCTAAATTCTGGTGATCTATCTCAATTTTTGTTTGGAGGCTAGAGTGATTATGACAGACATCGTCATAGAATTTTACGCTGATCAAGATAATATATACAGTATAGGGCCAGAACTGATTATTTCGATGAGTTATAAACGGAAAACAAACTTAATATACCCTCCATACTATGGTGGAGGGTATAAAATGGTACAAATGTACCCGGTTATTGATCGTAAGGTTAAGTCGGTTCATATATAGACATAGATCACATATTTAATTTAGTCCTATTTCATGTCAATGACACTTCAAAAATGCGATGTATTTTAGGATGCATCTCTTGAATATACCCAAAAGGATATCATATAGTCGGCCCGTCCGTTTTTACCACGTTCCTTACTGGTTTAATCTAATCAATTTGTTATTATTTTTTTAAACTATTAAAAAAAACTATTTAACGTTTTACTTTGTTTTGTTTTGCAACAAAGATAATGCCAAACAAAACAATAAAAACGATGCTGCCAAAATCAATGACAACTGTTGCTAGCGCCACTCTTAACAAGTGTTCACTCGCAACATTATATAGAAAACAAAGAGAGAGAGAGAGAGAGAGAGAGAAAGAGACCGAGCCACGTTTGGTTGAGTGCAAACAACAATAATAACTCAAACACTGATCAATTGAGAAAATGCAAAGAGTAAAAGCAAGCGAGAGAATGAGTGAAAATACAAGAGAACAAGGAAATGTTCAAATTTGCAAAGTAGGGACAAACTTGGTTTCCTCTCCGAGTCAGTGGGAGACAGAGAACATAGAGCGAGACAGCAAATCGACCTTCATAATAATGAAATGGGAAAACAATAAAAAAAAAAACAATACAATGCATGTATTGTGGGGCATGACAAATGTGTGCAAATTCTCCTCTTTTCGAAATATAAATAAACACAACAATACATGTTTGACTTTGTTTGTTGTGGATGTGTATTGTGAACACGATAACCAATTGTTTTGCTTAACGAAGAATAACAGTCTGATGATGTGTCGAAAAGGGGGAGTGAAGCAAATGTTGAAGGAGTAAATAAAATAAATTAACAACCAATACTTGCACAAATTATGATAAGAACAAAACAGCTGATTGTTCATATGATTTGCACAACGAAGCAGGAAGATAGGTAGGCAAGCAGGTCGGCAGCCAGACACGACCAGTCATATATTTTAGTTGTTGCTGCTGTTGTTGTCATTTGAATGACTGTGGTAATGGCATGGGGCTGTGTGGAGCCGCCGTCTGATTATTGTCTTGGATTTTGTTATTAAATAATAAAAAGAAATAGCAACAATGTTGCTGATTTTGCAAATATTTTTTTGCTGATAACAACAAAACTATTTTAAAAGGGGATGTGGTAGAGGCCAAGTGTTTTAAGTATTTGTTTCCCGGAAAAAATGTGATGGCGCTTGGTTATGTGGCAAATTTATGATAACAAATAAAAATGTTTAAAAAATAATCATGAAGGGTTGTGGATGGCTAGCTGTCTGTTGCCTGCAGCGTAGAGCAAAATAAAATTGAATATAGATTTATTTAAAAAATACATAAATAATACAATCAATTTATTTTGTCCTAGGTCAACAAAATCATGCCAATTGAATACCCAATTTGTTTCACCATTGGAATTTTGTTGAGTAAAACATCTTTCACCACCAACGACTTGAGGTCTATCCATGTTGAGTATGGTTCGTGGTGCCTTAAAAATCAATTCTTTTTGTTTTGTATTTTTTTCTTTGATTTACAGTTTAAGAGAGATTACCTCCCCAGCTGTTTGCGTGTGTGTGAGGGTATATGTGTTCGAATACACCACAGCCAAATTTGGGCAATTCTCCTATTTGCACAAACAATTCGAAAACCACTTTACACGCTGCTAATCCCCCACACAACATACATGTAGCAATGCAGTACTCTTTTTTCGTTTGCTTCAAAAAACGAAATCACGAAGAAGCAAAAGATTCAAAAAACCCCTAAAAGGCGAGTACCGCGGAGTCTAATTGCAAAATCACAGTTGCCGATTGCCAAAGAAGAACGTGATTTGCAATATTGTGGCGTTGTTGCTCTCACTCTCGTGTTTTTTGTTCTTTTCTGTCTTGGCAAATTCTATTTCAAACATTTCCCTATATCCCCCCTCAACGTTCCAAATATTCTCAGACGTTAACGACGACGACGTACATACGTTAGCAATTGATCTTTATTCAATACGGCCCGGGGAGGGGAGCTTCAAACAGTAGTGACTGCTGCTGCTGCTGCACCGGCTTGTGCTCACAATACGTACAACAGCAAGTCAGGCAGCTATAGCCTGCCTGACTGCCTGTCAGTATATGAAGTAAGACGAACAAAAAAATCGCTGCAGCGTGACTTATCAGCATTTACGGCGCCGCTATGCCGTCGCCTCTACTTTGGATTTGTAGTCACAAGGGTTATAAAAAAAAACAAAGCAAAACAAACAGCCAACAAGTAAAGTTCGGATCTGCCGGATCGTGATATATACCCTTCACGGCGCTATGTGGGGAACTTTTAAAATGTATCAAATATATTATCGAGTTATACATTTGGGGGAATATTAAAAGAAGGTTTCACGCTATATGTGAGCTCTAAAAA